CCCCCTCCACAACATCCTCCCCCGCAACCACCCCAGTGACCCCACCCTCCACACAATCCCCCCTGTCTCTCGACACCTCGCGTCCTCCAACGCCCGTGCGAATGCCTGAGCACGCGGGTTAGTCGATGCCATAAGTCGAGCCCTCTCTCGCTCTAGAATGTCGCGTGCCGCATCCGGAGACCTAGTCGTCGTCACTCTCTGGGGCTGCGTGAGACTCTCTCCAGCCGCGTCGTCCCTCGATGGAGCGCGATCCGTCGATGTCGCCCCGCCGCCACTAGGTGGAAGGCCCATCGACAAATCTAAGTCCAGGTGGCTCCCCATCTGCGAATCCGACATCCCCAACCCCCTCGCCACACCTGGGGTCATACCCGCCATGACCGGATCGTACTGCTCCGTGAGGAACTGCTGCATGAGGCGCTCGTCGCCGCCCCCACGCGACACCTCCACCTGTGCCCCTATCTCTTCCTCCACTGCTCCTGGGATTCCCCCCTCCACTGCATCCGCTCCTCCAGCTGCTCCTGCTGCTGCAGCCACAAGCCTATCCAGTGCAGCTGCTCCTGCTGCTGCAGCCACAAGCCCATCCAGTGCAGCTGCTCCTCCAGTTGCTCCTCCCGCTGCTCCTCCAACTGCTCTCGCCTACCCTTCCACTGCATCTGCTCCCCCTGGCGCTGGTGCCTCCTCCGCCAACACTGAAGCTGCCATCTCCTCTAGCAATGAAGCCGCTGCTGCTACAACTATCTGGTCCACCACACCTGCAATCGTCGTGTCCGCCAATCCCCCCTTCACTGCCATCTCCCCCTCCACTGCTGCTGCCGACGGTCCCCCCTCCTCCTGCAAGACCCCCGGAGAAGGTGATCGTAACCTCAGCTGTCGGACTGCCCCGCCTCCGTGGAGTAGTCTGCGCTGAGGCAAAGAGGACGCCAACTCCTCCGTGTCCTCTATTGCTGTGGTCGGCTCATATGGCGTGGCGGGCGATGGCGGTGCAGGACTCGGAGCAGAAGGTGGCGGCATGGATGACTCCTGCCTCGTCGGAGCGGGGCTCGTCGCCCGCGCTCCTGTGCCGCCCGTCGAAGCGACCTCCCCGAATGGTCCCCACAACTCCTCCTCTCCCCCCATCATCTCCCTCTCCGCCCTGTTAGCGTTCCGTCGTGCAGTATGCGCCCTGGTGTCCTCCTCGGGATCCAGGTGCGTCTCGTTGATCTCACGGGGAATGCGGAGCGCGGGGTGGTCCGCTGCCTCGGGTACCGGCTCCTCATCAGAATCATCCTCCCTGGGGTAAGGACGGAAAATGGAAGCACGTCTACCGAATACGGCCTCAGCGGCGGGTGGTGCGGAGACCCCGATGGGATCCCGGGTGATAAGCGCAACCTGACGGACAATCTCCTCCGGCGTCATCCCCCTGCGCGTGTCCGTGCGCACTGACTCTAACTCCAGTCCGGCCTTGCAGTCTAGCATGCCCTCGTCCCACTACCATGGCAGCACATAACCGCACCCAACCCGTCGATACTCCGACAACCGCACATTCGCGGTGATCTCAACGAGCTGAACAACCTTCTCAAAGGCCAACTGGTTGTGCTTCTTCGTGTGAATGCCCTCGTGGACTGCCCAGTTCCTCTCTGTTGGAGAGGCGCAAGACCACATGTGCATCACACAAAGAGCGCAGCGCTGCAACTCAGGCGCGCCAGACCCGTACTGAGACCACCAGGACGCGCACTCAATCGTCTCCCTGTCGCCACTGCAAGCACGCCCACGAGCACGCCCCTCCCCCCCTCCCCAATCCCCAAATGTGCCCTGCTGCATGTGGAAGTCCTCAAACTGCCGACATGCAATGATGTACTCCACACCATCCTCCTCGTAACCCGTCTGCATCAAAATGTACCTCTTGGCTTGCCTTACAAGCCAACGAGGGTAATCCCTCACCTCGCCTGAAAAGTACTCAACATGTCGCCTGCGGGGGTTCAGTAAGAACCCCGTGTAGTGAGCAGGCTCCAACATGTGCTGTGTGCGAGCCTGCACACGCTTGATGATGCGGTCAGCGAAAACCCTCCCCAAAGGAGCGCATGCATCAGTGACACGGCGGACAAGATCCTGTGTCCACTCGATCATCAGGGACATGTATTGCCCCCCACGATCCATCCGCCTAAGCAGCTCCATGACGGGCTGCATGATGTGGACTATGGTGGCCATCGTGTGCCACCAAGGCTCCCATCTGATCTGCAGGTGCACCCAATGCGCCATGTCGCACACATCGGCGGACCACGGTATAGAAGCAAACTCCCGCCCGTCATCCCCTCGCATCATCGCCTGCAGAGCGTCCTGCAGGGCCAACAGTCTCTCCAACATAGAATAAACAGACGCGAACCGCGTCTCGCAAGAAAGCACAAGCCCCTTGTTGGGGCTGCGCTTCCTAAAGAAATAAAGGGCGGCCTGGTGGGTTTTGAAAAACACCACCAGAACACGAGCGCGTGTAATCGCGTCCACAAGCACGTCGCAACTCGTCCCCATGTCTGACAACAATTTGTTGCAGACATGGACGGAACACGAAAGTCAAGTGATCCTCCTGATTGCAGGAGGGATGCCCGACAAGGCCAATGCCCTCGCAGCCGCCACGTACGCCGATGCGGAGTCTGTGCATATTGCATTGACCCGCTGCGGGCCGCCGAAACTAAACTCGTGGAAGATGGTTACCCATCTCCGAAGGACGTGCACTGCATCGTCCGGCTCGCCCTCGCGATTGATCGTCGTGTAGACGACGACCCCTCGCGAGCCGGCGGCAAGGAAATTCACGATCGGTCTCCCGTCTCGTGATTTCCTCCCGTCGGAGAGGAAGGTGGCACCAGTGATCCAGAATGGCTGCCTCAAGGACCTGCTGGTATGCCTTCCAAGCCCAGTGAGGCCAACTCCTTCGCCAGCTCCTCACGGTGGGTCTCCACCGCCTGCATACTCGCAATCTCGCTGTGGCTAGGGAGCACAGCGCGCGGGGAACTGCCTGGCTGCTCAAGAAGGACCTGCTGGTATGCCTTCCAAGCCTGGTTGCGGAAGGCATTGAAGGGGACCCCGCTGGAATAGAGCCAGCGAAGGAATGTCTTCTTGTGGCGAGCAACCCACTCGCCACCGTAGACGTCAGTGACCTTCTGCTGGCGAAGCCTCCTCCCACCTGGGGCGGCGGCCGGATCTTTTCCACCTTCCTTCCTCTTGGAAGAACCCTCCCCTACAGGTCCCTTGGCTGCTCGCCTCAAAAAGTCCTCCGTCCTCTCCCCAGTGCCTGGATAAACCTCAAGCACGTCCTCGTGTCTCGAGACTCCCTGCTCGCCCGGGACACGCGCCTCGCGATCGACGTCGATCGCGCCCTCCTCCGT